GAACCCTAAATTTCATCTGGATCAGAGATCAAGGGAACTTTAGAATTCCAATGCGTAATTGTTTCGAATCGTTGGTTGAACGATGATCTTAGACGAGACGAATCGGAAAAATCTCATATTCCTCATCTTACAGTTCCTTAACGAAGAGGGCTACGAGGGGAGCTTACACTTGTACGGTGACACTTGTTCCTTTTCCGATTCTGTATTCTCTCAGTGCCGGTTTAGAAGCAGAATCAATAGTTTTGTTCAAGCTTTGGTTATACCCAAATTTATGTGTTGTTTGTTTTGATATGAAGGCTGGAGCAGGATTCAGGGGTTTTCTTCGATTTTAGCTACTTCTCCAATGCTATCATCAATGGTAACTGGAAAGACGCAGAGAATTACCTTTCAGCATTCACTAGTCCAGATGCAAATACTTATTCAAGGAAGATGTTCATGGACTTGTTCAAGTGGAAATTTTCTGAAGCACCGGATAGGCAAGCAATCCCTACTCTTCTTACGATTCATTTTATGACATTTTTGGTAAATCATCTCTTATGATCTCTAGTAGAAGGAATAGAAAGAATTGCTATAGATTCATATACCTTCTTTTATAATTGACCATTCTGGAGAGAAATCCTTTTGTTGGGAATGCATGGACTTCAATGCTTAGTATCTTTGCCCTATTGGCTCCAACTTCTGAACCAAGGATTCCAGAATTCATAGTGCTGCATAGAATTACTTGTAATTTTGCTGAAATGGTTGGAAAACTTTGCTGCCAGTAGATTGGTTGTTCCTAACTTTGAGGGCAGAGAAAAAGAAAGCTATATGTTTTCTTTATCTCAGAAAGCTAAAAACATTGTCTGTATAGCCGAAGGGAGACGTATATATTGTCATGTTTGTTTCTTATTTATGTTTTCTTATTCCTGTTAGTGGTGGCTCTGAATCTGTGAACATTTTCTCCAAGGATTTGAGACGGATTACTGTTTTCAAAGATGATGGTTTCGACGATTTGGTTGAGGTGATTGATATAGAGGATATAAGGCAAGGATTAAGATATAGTAGCCATTAATAATTTGCCCCAGTGCAGACCTCGTAGGTTTTAATAATGTCTTTGTTTATAGGATTTCTGAACAAACTTGTTGCGTGGACAAAGCATTGGTGAGAGCCAACTTGTGTGTTGATCTCCGTAAACTAGCAGACAGCAATCCTTCTTTACGTGGCAAACTTGTTTTTCCGAAGCTGAATAGATATGCACTGCTGTCGCTTATCTTCCTCATATGTCCTAATTGTAATTGGGAAAAGGGCGGATTGAAGGTAAATTTTTACAGATTTTTTATTAGCTTATTTTGAAGTTACCAAAAAACGTGTTGAAATTAAGAAGTAATATACCAAGATTTTGGTTCCTCGAGGTTCTTTTGGATTCATTAGTCTTTTGTTTCTGATCAGTGCGTTTCTTGTAGGAAGATCTCATTTGCTTAATCCTTCAATTTCTCCATGAAGCAAAGTACAAGAACACTTTGCATAAGTAAGCTTCGGTGGGGATATGTGATTTGGATATAGCTTTCTTTCTTATTATTGATAATTTTTTCTTTCTGAAGACTAGAACAGGAAACAAAAATCTTCTTCAATTTAAATTATCTGACGGAAGTGATGACACTCGATCAATTGGGCAAAGCTGAAGAATACCTGTCAGCTTTTACAAACCGAAACGAGAATAAATATTCAAAGGCTATGTTTCTTGAAATGCAGAAACTTAAATGCACAGAATCTACAGAATGGTTGGTTTATATTAATATATGTGCACTTACGTTTCTGGTGCTATATGTCAACAGATTGATATACATATATGCGATTAATTTCATTTTGGGATCCTGATTATTTGGTAAAGGAATTTTCATATGATGGAAGCATGAACATAAGTGCAACATATAGTAGTTCTACTCAATTCATATTGAAATGTTATTAGCCCCAAATTCTCTGCTGGTCAGTTATGTACTCATCGTCACTATTTACTGCTGACATGTGCACCAATTTGTTTATTTTGTTGTGAAAAATGATAGAGCACTTCTAGATTAGGTTTCTTCAGCAGATCCTGTTAATTGTTCATTTTACAGGCTACAGCGTTCACTCTTGTGAAAAATTTCTACTGCAGGGAGGTTACAACCCCACCTGCATCTCTTGATAACATATCGCGAAAGCTACATGCCTCTGTTGCCATGCTTGCCAAGAAGAATCCAGTACTGAAAGATAAACTCAAATTTCCTAGCATGGAAAAATCAAGACTTTTAACACTGATGAAGCAGACGTAAGGCTGCCAAAAGGGTTGATTTCTAGTCTTGATTTTCTTTTAGTGGTTTTTTCTAGTTTTGATTTTCTTCACCTCATGCAGTATGGACTGGTGGATTCCTCATTCATGCAACAGTTCTAATTCTCTGGAAGATGTTCCAGTAGTACCATACCTTTGTGGCGCACCATCCTCTATAAAAAACAAATTTAATGAAACAGGGCCAAGGACGAAGGTTCATAACTGCAAACCAAAGGAAATCAATGATCCATCTGAGTGCAGTGCACTGGTTCTTCCTGATAATTGTTCAGGAGGAAGGGTATGGCTACTTTTTCCAGAATCTTTTAAAATTTGACATACTTCACATTTTTAGTTGATCTTTCAAAGGGAAAAAGAACATGGCTCTCGGGAACTTTTAGCCATCAAGAGTTGTGCTTTGTTGCTCCCAAGAGTTTTACCTTGTTTAGAATAAAAGTGATCAGTTCATTTAGGGGGAAAGTCTCATATGAGCAATTGATTGTCTTACTACAGATTTCCTGCCACCTGTATATACATTCTCGGTAGTAGCATCATGAAGAACCCATCTTCTCTGAGAAATTTATTTCTCTTGAGCTGTTTGGAATGAGAGTATCACCTACACATGTAGTCTGAGAAGTTTAATGAATGACAATGCTATTTGTTAATGCATATAGTCAAACATGTATTCTATATCTTCAACTATTGGGATCTCATTGATTTTGTTGGCTTTTCTAGATTACACGTTTGACCTATTCCCCTTCTGGAGATTTCATACTTGCTTTGGCAGAAGACGCCACACATAGACTCTGGACGTGGTCTAGTAGCCAAAATGAATTCTGCAAGGTTTAGTTTCAGATGCCTATATTGTCTCTGCTATTTTTCAGGGCTAATGTCATGATTACTTACCCTATGTACTTGATTCTTCAAAATTTCTTCTTATAGGGTACTCCTCGAGTATTAAAGGAAAATGTATTTCCGAAGCCACGATTACATCAACCTCAAAGTGGGAAAACTATGAAAAACGAGATAGCCACCTCTGTTCAGAATTCAACGTCATGCTTGGCAATCAAGGGTTCCCATCTTTTCTCTACTTCAGGAGGAAAAATAGCAATTTTTGATCTAAAGAGTTTTGAGGTAATAAGCATTGTAATGTTTTGCGCTTTCTGGTCTCCATCATCAAATGACACTGTTTGCATAAAACTGCAGAAGGTAGCTGCGTTTGGAAGTCCTACACCTACGGCTACATATTTTATATTTATTCCTGGTGATTTGCTTGCTGTCGGGCTAGATGATGGCTCTATCTTTATCCATTGTTTATTCTCGAGAAAGGTAAAGTCTTCGTTTTTGTGGTTTCATCTGAAACCGTTGCCTGACTTTTTCTGCTGCTTAAAAAATAATATGAAGCCGTAAATGTCTTTAGATCAAAGCAAAACTAGAGGGCCACAATCATGGAATAGCTTGCCTAGCATTTTCCCGCTGTTTTAATGTCCTCGTCTCATCCGGAGCTGATGGAAAGGTTAGTACATCATTTGTAGGTACACGAAATTGTTGCTTTCAAGACTTCTAAATTGCTTTTTTTTTTCTTTTTCAGCTCTGTGTTTGGAGCACAAAAAGCTGGGCAAAGCTAACAAGTATAAACTCCGTGCATAGATTTTGCATTCGACATCACCATGAGTCATCCTCTTTAGTAACTCCCATCCAGTTTGACCCGTATCAAATTGAGCTACTCGTGGTCCAAGAGTGGTCGATAGGTGTATACAAGGCCCCAACTCTCGATTGCCTTGGGCAGGTAAAAGCTAAACACTTTCAAGATTCGCTGCTAAATATTCCCTTTATCTAGTTATTGATTCGAAACAAAAAATGGTACGCAGTGGGTACCCGAGGAATCTGATGCTTCGATAACTTCTGCTACGTATTCTTCTGATGGTGAGATCATCTATGTTGGTTTTAGAAGCGGGTCTATAAAAATTGTCGACTCCAATACCTTCGTGACGATATGTCGCATCAATCTGACAGCTTTTATTCAACCCAGCCCCAGCAATATCTGGTACAGTTTCCTTGCTTAGATTTGATCAAATAAAAGCCCTCAAAAATGATTAATCAAATTGGCTATCAAACTTGGAAACTAAGACTCTATAATGACTCAGGCTCGTGGTTTATCCGGCTGTTATAGCCGCTCATCCGTCACATCCGACCCAGATCTCTGTAGGGCTCAGCAACGGTAAGGTTATTGTAATTCAGCCGTTGGGGAGAGGAGGATGGGGTGAAGCAGTTCCACCTGAAGACAATGGAGATTATCCTGATGACTTCGATCATTGTTACTGATCGCAGAGGCTGTCTTAGTTTTTTGTATATCTCTGAGAGCTTCTGTCGTTTTTGCATGTCTTTGTGCTTATTAA